CGTCATTAGGTAATACCATCGGTTCCGAAACCATTGATAAGGATCCGATCACACGGTCTGTTATGCAGTACGCAAATGTTTTCTTATGATAAACTATATAAACACCGTGGTAAACTATAAACGTGGTGTAAATATTCCGTTTTAATTGAAAGTAAAATATTTTTAACGTTCATGATTTTCAACGGTGTGTGAAAAGTTCTACAAAAAGTATACCATTGAACGTAACTTATTATTATACTGTCATTATCATTATACTTTTAAAAATGTATCATGCAAACCGTGTACGCTTCGGTTGATTTAAAAGAAATTATGAAAAATGAGTAACGAAGATTGTCAAAAATAGAATCAGTAAAAATAAATATACACAATGTTCTAAAATCAAAAATGGATTAAAAGTTTATTTTCAAGCGAATGTTTTATGACTTTGGTTTAATAATTATAATAATAATAATGAGTAAAGAATATATGAATTCCCAACGACTCGAAGTAGAAGCGAATATACTTACTATTTTTTTACTCGTATATAGTTAATATATTTACGATACGCTAAGGTAATAAGGCGTAATAATTTATTTATTTATTAAAATATTATACGGGTTAGGACCCAATTATATGAATTAAATTTAAATATCATTAGAAAATATTATTAAATAATAACAGGAATAAATTTAAATTTAAAAAAATATATATAATTAATATAAAATAAACATATCAAGTTATATATAACGCTAGGTTAGCGGAAACGCGATTTTTAGAAGAGTAGAAGGAAATAAAAAAAAGTGGATCAATTTTATAATTATTTACAGAGTTCATGATTCTCAAAAGTGGTGTGTTATTTGCATAATTTGTAGTTTGAGATTTTAAATAGAATAGGTTAGTTGATCAGTTGTGAACTGAGGAAACTTTGAATGACAGACGATTTAAAAGGTTAGGACAGTCAATATATCCAAGTTAGTAATTAGAGGTTAGTTAGTAAGTATCTTATAAATAAAATATAAATCAAGTCTGATTCTACGCTGTTCGAGGAATTACAAATTCAGATAAGTAAGTAAAGGTTGTTTGGGGAATTCTGGATATATTCAACTTGAAAGCTAAAAACTGTAAGAACTTGTTTTGAACTTTTTCGAGAGTAGTTATTGATCCAATGTTATATCATGACCAGATAATTGAACAATATTCAACAACTGAGTGTACCAGTGAACAATAAATTTGAATAAAAACATTTTTATCATTGAAGTCGACACAACTTCTATGTGTGAAACCAAGCAATTTTGAGGCTTTATACTTTATGTAACACATATGAGCATTAAAAGTTAATTTTGTTTCAAAAAGTATGCCAAGATCCTTTATAACGTCAGTTATTCTGGGTAGAGGTATACCATTGATATAATAATTGAAAAATGATTAGAATGTGAACAGGAGAATGTCATTAACATTCTTGACACTTTGAATATTAAGCGTAATGCAATGTTTATTGCTCCAATGAAAAATCACGTTTAAATCAGATTGTAATAATTCAGCATCATAAAAACAATTAACGACACGGTAAAATTTAATATCATCAGCAAACATAAGCTTAGAACTGTTTAGAAACGTAAAGTCATTAATATATAGTAGAAATATAGTTGAGGCTAGATGAGAACCTTGAGGAACACCCGAATTAACTGATATTGATTTTAAGTGAAATTCTTTATAAATAACAATTTGGGTACACTAAGAAATGTAAGACTCAATCCAACAAAGAAGAAAACCACATACGCCAATATATTTTAATTTATGCAAAAGAATAGTGTGATTGACTTTATCGTAAGCTTTAGTGAAATAAGTATAAATAACGTACATACGTAATCTAGCTAAAGAACATAAATTAAGAGATTTTGAAGGGTTAGTTAATTAATAGAAGTCGATTTAGATAGTCTAAAACCTCATATCTAATTATTCGGAACTTTCGTTTATTCCAAAATATGTTGTTCCCGAAAACAACATATTGTTTTTTATTAATCAAACATAATTATACTTTTAAAATATTTACGATGGTTGCTTATAAATACACGAAATCAAAAAAGAAAAAAAAGTTTGCTCGGAGTTGTATAAAATCATATACAAACTTAACTTATTGCGTTAGTATCTTTAAATATTATGTCCCCCAATGTTTAAAAATACGCTGCTGCAGAGATAAATTGAATTCCGATTTTTAAATATTAAATTCTTGAAGGTTCTGTTACTGGATAGCCTCGCTTCTCAAACGATTCATGTCATGTAAATATTGTTCGTTATATACCTAATTTGCTTATTGTATAAATGTTACAGATTCTAAATATTCCGTAATTTTTTAAATAAAAAAAAAAACTAATAATGTAAAAATAAATAATATGCTGTTTCAGAACATTCTTCAGTGTGAGTTTATTTCGCTAAATTGATATTTGGGTAACAGAATATAATAATTATAATTTATATTATTGTTTAAAATGTTTGTAATAGCACGCGATGTGATAAAACATTTTATAATTTGAATAACAGTAAAAATAAAAAATAAAATTCCCGAGCGTACATATTTTTATGTCCAGAATTGCTACATTCATTTCGCCAGGTCTAATCCCACTTTCTACATCGATCCTCAGATATCTATTCGTGCACTTAATATGCCATCTAACCGTTCGATGCATACTGTTGACTTACTTAATATTGATGCTTTATTTTAAAATATTTAATTCACTAATTGTCATTCCAACACCGTATATCTAATAAATTGTGGCAATCGTTAATATCTTGTCAGGTAAGACTTAACTATCGTTTGGAATCGTTTCAAATTGTAAAACGCATCGCTATATGTGCTATCGCGTTATTTTATTTTTATGTTTTAAGTTATCCATTCAGTTCATTGTTTCTCGCGCAATATTTATCGACTGTACTTACTATTTTAACGAACATTTTTGTTGAGTTCGTACACGTCGAAACAATTAAATGAATAAAACACAGTGCTGCTACAGACCGTAGATTTTCCCAAGTCGTAAACGAAAGTGGGTGCTACGGCTTATCCTGTTGATAGAACGACGGGCTAGAACGGTAGAAAGGATTGAAAACAGACGCGGTGAAGGACGACCGTACAATATCGATAATACTTCCTATGGCATTTCGGCAAAAAATCTAACGCGAAATGTCCGCGCGTTGAGAACTCAATGTTTACGCCACGCGGTTTTCATCACGTGTCCTAAACAACGAGATGAACACTATTGATTGTCTTGCCATGACCCATTTGCACTCGCGTCATGGATTTTACGTATGAATGATTCATATGTGCGCTGAACTCCTTATACGTTTTGCTCACGATACGGAACAATGCAAACCGTTGTTTTTACGTTTCGGATTTCCAACGCCTTTAATCCACCGAACGAATCAAATCTGCCGACCTCCTATTTCACATCAGCATCATTTGCGGTGGAGTGTCGTAAGATTAACCCAACGAAAGACCACGTCGTCATAGGTTTCGTTTTGAGTTGACACCGGACCATGTAAAGACGAAAATACTAGAGAATGGATAATTCGACAAAACAGAGAACTAAAAGTACTATATCAATACTCAAGTACCGTGCAAGACATCACCGTGAGATGACACAAATGGATAGGTCACGGATAGCGTAAGAAAGGATCTCTGCTGAGAACATTACTAGAAGACACTCCACAAGGAAAAACACCACTGGGACGCCCGAGATTACGAAGGGATGACAGGGTAAGAGGAGATGTGGAAAAATTGAGACCTGGAGAAGACTGGAAAATAATATCACTAAATAGGGAAAGCTGGAGCAAATAAGTTGGATCATAAGGTCTTGAAGGCCTAATATCACTAAGAAGAAGAAGAAAACGATGCGCTTGTATCACGTAATGTTGTCCCGTACAAACGTACGACATGGCGAACATGGTGTATTTTTAATATTACATTAACTTATCATCGAAACTTAAAATGCTCAAAAGTAAGAACTTTATCTTCGTTTTGTTTATTAAATTTTACAATATTTTAATTCTTAGGCGGGTAATGAGTTGTTTTTTTTAAATTTTTTAACCGTATCATTTTACCTTCAAAACGTGCCATGAAAAATTTAAACATTTTATAAACGTTTTAAAGGGAATTGGAATCTTTATGAAACAAGTGGAGTGGACACTAGAACATTTTAATAAGTTATGCACCATCGTTTTTGCAAGAAAGTGATTGATACTCAAAAGTTTGCCTCAGGCCTATAGCTCCATAGATCAACGTCGATACAGGGTCATACACTCGAGTGCAAGATATGATCTTATCCGTTGATCTATAGATAAAATGGTCACTTATTTATGATTTTTATGCGAAAACGGTAGTAGGGACTCAATTTTTTATTTTTATTATAAAAAAGAGAACTTTATCATTGACAGCATTTTTATTTTTTCTAACTAATTTCAATATTTATTTTAATATTTTTATAAATAACTAAGCCTCAGCTGCTCGACGATTGGCTAACTATTTGATTTATGTTTTACATTTATAAATAGCGATAACAATTTTTCTTAAGTACTATAATGAAGGAATGGTACAATTTTACAAGATGTTTTCGATATTTATATTTTCTGATTTCAATAATTATTATAGCTGAAAAAAAAAAACTTAAAATTTCACAAATCATATAAATAATAATGAATTAATTTTTGTTATCGTAGCTAGTGTAGGTAATTCTCGTTAAAAAAAAAAAAAAAAAAAAAAACTAAAATAAGAGCCGCTATTATGGATTTTACACCGAATGGTTTTGTATTGCGTAAAAGGAAGTTTTACGACTAGATTACTGATGGTTCATCATGTCCTCATAAATGTTTACCCCGCTACTGCCGTCGTGTTCATACATTTATTTCTAATGGTTGTCATCGCACAATTATTTTTACTACTGTGCAGCATAACGACGTGTAATATAATATCATGGTTCTGTCGACCACCAGTGCATATCTGACGGTAACCGCGGTTTTTCACTTTGCAGTTACAACATATTGTTCCTTTGCGTCACTTACATCATACCCCTGGCAGTGATGGCTGTGTGCTACACAATCATGGGCAGAGAGCTGTGGGGCGGCAAAGCCATCGGACAGATGACACAGAGACACATGGAGTCGATTAAATCGAAAAGAAAAGTGAGTACCTGCACCGCCGTTTGCGTCGATCGCCGCGCACTTTTCAGACCTTAAGGTACGGTTTCCAAGCTGCGAATAGGCGCAACGATCAGCCGCAACGCCTGTTGCGTGTATTTTCTACATACAACCGAATGCTGCGGCTAGTATTTATTTTCAGTTTAATTCAACTCGATATTTCGTGGTGCACACGCGTATTTTTTTTTTTTTTAATTTGTCATTACAAGTAACTAAAAACGGAACAAATAATTATAAATAATAATAAAATAGTCATGAATTTATTATAAAAGTAAGAAGAAGAAAAAATGTATGTTACCTCTTCAAATGACCTCTTCAACTAACAGCTCATCGTCAGTTGCCAGAGAAGAGAATTTTCGATGTTTTTCGATTTAATTAATTTGTTTATAAAAATATATAGTAAATTCCGTACCTTAAACTGTGCTTTTACACGAGCACATAATCATTTTGGGTTGTTATCAAAACGGTGATATTACTGTTGCGCTGATTTCGCGGCTATGTTTGCGTGTACGTGCGCGCCGGGCAGGAGATCGCGAAAACTGTGTTTTCGTTGGTTTCAATTAAAATGTTTACGAAATTCGCGAGCAAAACAAATTAAAACCTGACAAAAAATTATCCAAAACAATTATCTCGGAATTCGTGGAATTCATGCACGCGCATTGCAGTTACAAGAAATTAAAAACTGGGGCAAAACGTTTAAAATTAATTGGTTTCTTTTTATCAATTTATTCGTTATATTTTTATGTAAATAAAAATGGTGAGAAGACACATTTATTACGGTTTAAAGACCTAATAGCCTACAGTTATCAGCGAAAGTTTAAACACCGGTTATTATTTTAATTTTTTTTTTTTTTTGTTTCGGAAGAAAAAAAACACAGACAACGAAAATATGTTTACTTAAGTTTATATAGATTGCTTAAAATATTTCAACGATTATTCCGTTCATTCATGTAGTCCAAAGTAAACAACATTTCATAGAAGACTGGTTCTTGTTTTTGTGCATATCATATACTCTGTTATTTAACCTAATGAAAACATATTGTTTTCGCACTCGAACAAAGCCCTAAAGTTTATCAAAAATACTTCAGCGTCTGATTCAGTAGATAATAAATATTCTTTTACATTCTGTCAGCATCGACAATAGCCATACAAATAAAAAAAACTAAAAAACACATTTGTTCAAATTATTGTAATTCGGTTGAAATAGAGAAAGATTTCCGTACACATTATTAGTATACAGAAATAATAAAATATATTCTAGTTGTAAACTTAATTATTTATATAAATACGTCAACGCTGATTCAAAAACTTTATTCGTGTATATATCACAACTTAATGTTTCACCGATCGGTCTTTATGGAATTTTGAATTAATGTATATAAAGTTTTCCAACTTATAAATAAATTATGCTATCTGTAAGTCTAAGGAACACTATGTTCGCCCTACTACGAAAATATAAAATATCTAAGCGCGTATGTATGTAATAACAGGATTTTACACAATCAACCCTATCATCTATATAAATATCATGTAAGCGTGTAAAAGTCTAAAATACAATTTTCGATCCAAAAGCTACAAAATTGCACTAAAAAAACTAACCAAAAAAAACTTCAAAATCAAAATTTCTGAAAATATGTCTTAAGATCTTAAACGCTTTCATAATGTCATAAGAAAAGTACACGAAACGAACTTTTAACAATACGAGTATTTCACATGAACCAATGGAAAACAATACAAAGTGTATGAAAATCCTAACCCTAACAATAATTAATTCTAATGATAGCTCACAAACTCACAGGTGCTTCTAACTACCATTCGTTCAGTGTACTCTGTATTAGTGTACTGTCAACACGATTGTCTTGACGTCAACAGTTGTTTTGAGTGCTAGCACACATTATGTTACTATACTACGAGTGCCCAAAAATAATTTCCAAGTGGCAATTACTCAAAAGTAAAACTCTCAGAAAGTTGGTTTTCTAACTATAAATCTAACCATTTTCATTTAGCTTTATAAAAACGGTATTTTTAATAAAAATACTTTTGAACGTAATTTGAATTTTATTTTTTAACCGCACAATTTTAACAAGAGTTTCGCATACGAGTATAGCAAAAAAATAAATAAGTAGAGTGAAAAAATTGAAAGTTTTTTTATTAATTTAGACTATTTTGTTTGAAAAATAAAATGAAACTCTGGTGTCTAATGCATTAATAATACAATTATAAATAATTATAATTTATAGTACCTACATAGTTTCAAGTTAACAAACAAAAATCTCCTATATGAAATACTGTACAATCCGTGTGTTTTTAAATTTTAAGATGTTTACGTACGATGATGTTTTATAATATTTTTCATCGATCGAAAATTCACTTAATCTCAACAAACTTGTTTTCCTTAATAAAACTGATGCAGTTTGCGCTTAAACAATTACTTTTTTTTCATATTAATCAAACAATTTTCTATTATTTAATCGTTAAATCATTTTAATGGTTTTAGTGGACTGCCACATTTTATTATATAACCATTGATGTTTATTTGCACATTTTGGTATAAACACAATGTTATTTAAAAATTATTTTTTTACATTACTTTATATGTACTAAATTATCAAGCAACCTACAACTGAAATACATTCACTTCTTTCAAAACAGATTCATATAAACTTTAATATTAATAAAAGCAACATATCGATAGTTTATTTGTTCTAAACGTATCTCCACAAGACCACACTATCCACCAACTTTCAATAACTTCTGTATATTTTTACTAACATTGTATTCGGCTAGTATAATAGTACAATACTCGTATATGATTAACAAAGGTGTAGCTTGGCCGAGTGAACGAGACCGCTGTGCTTAACCGCATAATCACCGGTTCGGATCGGGTATCCGATGGTTTCACTTTTTGGACCGGGCAACCGCCTGGAAAGAAGAAACCCCCTCTCAACCGATCAAATTTTCTGAAAACGAAGTTCACACACATGTTAACTTATTGTAGCCCTATCAGACGACACAATAAGCACAGGGGGCAAATGAATCTAGCTGTGGAAGGCCCCTTAGAAAAAAAAAAAAAAATTAATAATAGTAACATAATAAACGCACGAAACCAATATTTGAACAGCCCGCGATTCAAACGTCCGAATCACAGTGTTTCATATCGCCTGTTGTCAAACTTGGATTTCAAATTTTAATTGGCTCATGTTTACATAATTTAATAGGGTCCTTTTCGAACGTAGTAAGTATTTCGCAATAAAACAGCGTTCGCTTTCTGGGTACGACGTCAACCGTGATCGTAAATATGATTTAAAAATCAAGTATATTCGAATACATATATATATATATATATATATATATAATGTGACTGTTTCCGGTCGAAAACACCAAACGTTTTGGGAGTGAATGGTTTGGATGTTTTATGATTCGGTCCGGACGATTGTGCTTCGAGTGGTCAATAATAATTTTGGTGTTCTTAAATAATAGAAAAAAAACATTTATTAGCTTAACAGGGTCTGATGTGTGCAATGTTATTTATTATCCCACCTATTATGTACTTCTGTATAATAAAAGAATAATAGAGACGGAAAAATAATTCAAAATATACCTGAATATAAAACAATATATATGCATTACTAGTAGGTAACATAGATATTTTTATTTAGGTTTTATGCAACCATAACAGAATAAAATCACTTGTTTGAAAAACAAAAGATTGCATAACATTTCGGAAACCATCACCTTTCATTATGGTGTGTGGGTTAATGTGACGTACGTAACCAACTTAACAAGGTGGTTTTATAGAAACTGATTAGACGAGTATTGTGACTTGAAAATGTCATAATAAAATAGTAAAATAGCACGTTTTGTTGAGTCATATCCAGAAAAAAGAAGCACGTGTTATCTTCAAACAACATTTGCATTATATTAATATATGCGCGTACAGAATATAGGGTAAACCACAATAAAGGCATGGATCTATTATCGTCATTATGTACCAACTTGGTAGTACAATGCCAATTCTATAAGTATCATGGATTTTAAACCAGTGATCAAAACTCATTGTGATGAATAACGATTGAAGAAGTATCTAGGATATAACACCTCTTCACAGAAGTTTTTGGTAATTTTCCCGGCGACGTTAAAAAACGCCTTATAATTTTCTTATACATAAAAATGGCCATTGTACGGATGATGTTATATTCCATGCATAAACTGCGTTACATTCAGAATCTGAACCAATGACGTCCTCAGGGGAGAGGGCGAATATGACAGTCACCTCTGCCCCCATATGACCTATTTCTTTTTCTTTAAATTGTTATTATCTATATGACACTAGAGAAATATATAAAAGTACACTATAAATTCATGTATGAAGTTTACCTCCCTTCATTTAAAAAGATCTAGGTATGGCACTGATCTGAATGATACGTAAATTGGTGCAATGGAATTGACATTCGATAATTTGTTGAGTTTCTTTCGTTTTTTCTTTTAAAAATCGTTAATTTTTTTTTTTTCGTATCAGTAAAATGAATTTCACGCGATTTAATCGCTAATAACGGATAATAATACGGACGGAACACAGTACGATTCAATCGGGTTTTTGATTTCCAGGTGGTCAGAATGTTCGCCGTCGTCGTAACGATTTTCTTGATCTGTTGGTTGCCTTATCACTCGTATTTCGTATACGCATACCACAACAAGGACATAGTGGTCAAGGCGTACGTACAAGATCTTTTCCTGAGCTTCTATTGGTTGGCGATGTCCAACTCGATGGTGAACCCGATAATCTATTACTGGATGAACCCGAGGTAGGTGCGGGTCATACCTGTCGTGTTTCGTCGGTCCAACTGCGGCCGCGACCGATGCGGTGTACCTGATACGAACGATGGTATTTTTTCTTTTTCTTCTAACAACAGGTTCAGAGCGTATTTCAAATTGATCATATGCTATTGCGGCGGCCTGAGGAACTCCGACAAGGAGTCCATAGATCTGAATGTGATTCGGATGAACGGCGAGTCCCACTACTACTTGACCCGGTCCAAATCAGGTAACTCATTCGAACGCGTACTTACACATCATAATTTATGGCTACCGCGAAACTGATTGGTACATCGTAGACTTTGGTTTTCAAATGCGAAACTCTGCACACAACATACTGCCATTATACTACATTGAACGCAATATTCTTATTTGTTTTTATTTCTACTTAACCTCAAAATCGCACTTAACGCGACGTACCATCCTACTGGCAAACACACGTGTTAGCTTTGTAGTGCTAAAGATCACGTGACTGTATTGATAGTACATAATCAAATATTCGTTCGTCGACAACTGCAGCAGTTTATTCGAACGGTCCCCGCGGTATTAATTTCGATAGCGAACCACACGAGCTGCTCAAAATTGAATTTAATACCGTTTCAATATAATAGCCAACGTTGGTTCTCGGCTATATACACGGCGTATTAATTAGCGCATACTCATGAGCAAATAGGATATTTTAATACTAAAATATCGGTCACGAGCATGCGAGATTTCAGTTCCACATCAAAGCTCATACCATCATCGCGCAGAGGCTTCGCTGTAGGTGCATACGATTCAGTAATACATGATATGACACTTAATATTCGCGTAACACGATAATCGACAAACATAATTTCCAAAACTACGATTGCCAACCATAATGTATACGCTCATGCCTACTAGGAAACGTTAACGCGAGCAGTTGGTCAAAACACGGTAAAATGATGTATAATTTTAGAAAGCGCAGTGCAATTAATCAATGATAATAAATGATACGCCTTACTGAAACGAAACCGCTTTCCGAGATCCATTTTTCGACCGCTATCTCGCGCACGTTGTTATTGACCATATGCACGTGGTGCCCATTGACTTGTAGTTAAGTAGCTTTTGGCGTTGTACAGTGGAACGGTTAACCAGGTCCAGTGTCGTTGGCAGTCCAACACTTACGGCGCCAACCAGACACCCGAGTGTTATGTCTGCCCAGGGACTACAACGAGGTGGTACGGTATCCGCGGGCAGCAACACGAGATGATCAAACGGAGACGGAGCCGATCAATAGGTAAAAACAGTAGGTGCAAGCAAAAACATGTACGATAAACACAATTGTTATTGTATTACGTGTACGAAACGTGCTTTAAACGAAAACGTAACACTGTAGAACCACCGAACTCATTGGCTACATCTTGAATATACTTTGTACGGTCGACACAACACTATGTGACGTGATACGTAACTGAGGTGTTTGACAATCCGTCTTGGTATCTATTTTTATTTTTTAATTCGTCCGTTTTGTTTTTTCGGAGTGGAGTGCGAACGTGATAAAGATGATTTTATAATACGGCTTAGGGAATATCTAGGCAAACAATATAGGAATGTGGGAATGAAATAATCAATGTTCCAAGGTGAAGTCGTAAACTTTAAATATTTAGGATCGATTGTACAAAAGGACGGAGGCTTTGGTGTGTAAGCAAAACATAGCATTAAGTGTGGTTGGGTAAAATGGAGAAAAGCATCGGGCGTTTGATACGATAAGAGAATTCCAATAAGGCTGAAAGGTATATTTTACAGGTGTGTAGTGAGACCAACTATGCCATATGGTTCAAAGTCTTGGGAGGTTGACAGGATAAGAGAGCATTGTACGAGTGTTGTGGAAATGAGAATGCTTAGATGAATGAGTTGAGTGATAAGAGAATATAGAATAAGAAAGGAATATGTGATGGATAGTATTGGTGTAGCGTCGATAGTGGACAAGATGAGAAAAAATGATCTGAGATAATTTGAGCATGTGATGAGATGAGAGGAAAGAAAAGCATTAAGAGTGGATATGAAAATTAAATTATAATTAATAATAATTAACAGAAAAGAGAAAGAGGAAGATCAAAAAAGAAATGGTTGGATACGATTGAAAATGTCATACGAGGTATATTGGTATGAGCGTAGAGGATGTAGAAAATCGAGACGAGTTGAGGTCTAGGACAAAGATAGTCGACTTCAAATAGTTGAGAGAAAGGCGAAGAAGAAAAAAAAGAATGTTTCATAATAGGGAGAAAAGAAGAATAGAAGAATGTAACATGATCGAACTCGCAAATGGTTTCCTCGTAGGTTAGGAATTCAAGCAAAGCTCGAATTAGTATGTTAGAGAAATGTGCTGTGTTCCATGCGAAGGCAGTAGAAAATGAAAATAAGAAGTCTGGACATTTTTAAAAAATTTACATTATGCAAACATTATTTCATGACGATGTGAATATTACTATTTAAGTTGTGTAATGTACACAGTGTACGATTTTTACAACAAATTTTGATTAATTTTAACGTCCATAGCTTATTTCCGGAAAAACAAAATTCAATCATTTTAAGATATTTTAAAGATATCATATTTATTACGACTGTAAGGTTTCATTTTTCATCTTAAGCTAACCACCCTGCACTGTCTTATTTGGTCTTCGGTAGATCGGGAACAAAGCCATCATTATATTACTGATATACACCAGCAGAACTAGATTAAGGAGGAGAGGGGTTGGGTGCTATAGTGTCGGACCGTGAGTAGAAAGGGACAACAACGTGTTTTATAATCGTTGAAATATAAAGTACTATTTTATCAATAAATACGAGTAGTGACTATTTCTACATTATACAAACATACCATATTTATTATAAATTACTAAATCTGAATAAAAATATTAAATAATTTTGAATGAATGGGCCTCGCCGAAAGCAATAGCCCTTATATTACGATCATAATCCGGCCCTGTACACCAGTCGTAACAAACAAATGATAGGATTTCCAGAACAATACGGTTTTGTGGACGTTTGTGACTGGTACAGCTATTCAGTGGCACCGAAGCCTGTATTCAAGTAGGACAGGTACCCTATCTCATAATATTTTAGTGGTGGGTGAGCTAGTGCAGTCACCAGTAGCTGGATCAATAAATCATTAGTTATTTTGAATAAAAGAACAAACACGGTCAGTAATCAACTTGTTGGTATACACTGCCTTTGAGATTGATCCACATGTCTTATTTATCAAATACTATTTTTCGTGTACTGCAAATATCATATTATTAGGCTCTAAATCCAATCGTGGGTCGGTGGTCATGGCCCATGAGCACATGCCCTATCTGCATTTTTTTTGTCTCGGCGACAATGCAGCTATTAGAATACCATGACGCATTCCGATTCCGGCGAAAACGACAATACAGTTTTAGAATAACAAAGAGAATAAACACTTTTTTTATTTAAAAAAAACAAACAATTTTGATGCCAACTAAACGTACAGTACTACTACACATTTCGATAAGTTTAACGCCGATGACGCCGTCTGTTAAAAGGCAAAATGAACAAAGCGACAAGTCGTATACTATAACACTACCGACAGAGAAAGTATTCGATCACTGAAGTACAAGTATTTCTCTGACTATTTGTTAACGAGATATTCATAAATTTCGGTACAAGCGATGCTGATAAAAATTGTATTCGCCAAACGATAAATGCATTAATGGTATTTGGTCGGCTCTTATCGTTCATCACTTTTTATAACATTCGTAATATAAAATGCATTTAATGCGCTAATAATTTCACTTTCGTCACAATACTATACTATTCATAACGATAACGACATTTGGACGATATTTAGGCATTCTATTTGCATTAGTGTGCATGGGATATTAATCGTAATGTTGCAAACGGTTTATAAAATGTAATTTAACTAAATGTCATTATCGTTAAGAATATTATCATAATATCTTGTCAAATGTAAAATGTTAACGTATTATAATTTTAAAGAAAGTACGATAATTTTCGTATTTGTATTTCGAATCATTAACATTAAAAACGAAAGTAGGGACCATGTGCCATGTTACTCATCGCTCGGTGAACACAATTTTTATTAATGTCTACACTCAAAAAAAAATATATGATAACAAAAGCTTAGCCCCAACTTATTTAACATTTCTGTTTACATATGTTGATTATACCGTAATGTATGTATAACTAAAGGGCTATTGTAACATCTGAACTTGGGCGATCAAATGCTTGGACAGTCGCTTAACCCTAAAATGTTGCTTGATTCCTTTTACCGGTCGAATTAGTAAAAAGATAAATACAATTAACGTACGTTAACAAACGTTAATCTAACACGTATACAAACGTTATGGGACGGATTGACCGAGTTACCTCTGATGTACGATTTAGTTTCATTATTCAGGCTGATTAACTTTTCACCGTCATATGACTTGGTCCATATAAGTACCTATATACAGTTTTTCGTAAAGAAAAAAAATTATTAAAATACCGTTTAGTTTTTTTTATATGGATTATAATGTATTTTATACGTTATCTAATCTCTCATAATATATTATATTCTAGTTAGTGAATTGTAATAGGTGGTGGGTGTCGGATAATGACTTCTACGTATGGAAATTCGATATATCGAAATAACTTAACACGTAAGTTCAACAATGAATGATCGGGATTGAAAAAAAAAATTGACATACAGAAACTTTGAGATACCGGAGTTTGACATTGTAAGGTTCCGCTGTAGACAGTACCATATTTATTGCCAAGTGTATAAAAAATATGGCCCATCCTCAATAGACATAACTGCGAATATAATATAAGTATGTCTTAGTTTGCTTGTCCTCTGTCAACATAATTTAAAGAAATTCTCATGCTCTCTCCAATGTTGGCTGGAGGAAACATATGGATAGATCTAAATTTTTCAAATTTAAATAATCTAATCTAAACCTATTGAATATTATCCAAACAGACTTGATATTTTTATTTATAAACGAAAAATTACACATTAATCAACATGCATAGCTAATTTCAACATTACACGTAACAAATATACATATATGCTGAAAACAACAAATGCATCAAAAACATCAGATACACATTCACTTTATTCCGTGAAAGAAGCAACCCAATAATGAAACTTTCAGATTTATTAACAAATCATTTTACTATCAACATTTTGTAAAATATCAAGACTCATCACTTGCACTTCAATTGCCTTGAAGGAATACCAGGAATTATAGGAGTTGCCGAGTTTGGAGTCAGCGGATTTAGATAAGAGCACCTGGGGAGATTATGAAATATCTAACAAAAACATTTGACCACTTCGTTCATTGTCTTTAGTACGAAATCCGTACTTATATGTAGAATTTAATTGAGAGTAAATTGATTAATTTCTTTAGAGATGAACTAAAATGCAAAAAATAAAATGTAGGATGAATGTAAAAAACCATAAAAAGTACAATGATATTTTTAACTTTTTAATTTTAATAAAGAATACAAATTAATTATCATATTATATGTTACTAGAATTTCTAGGCTCCAGAGGCTACGGAAGACTAGAAATCTTACTACGAAGACACTTATCTAATGGCACCGATGATGACGACTTTGACGGCCTCCGGCAGCACACTGCACGAGGATCATCGAGCATTATTATTGTAAATAATACGACGACAGCCATTTTTGAAAAATATCTCTGTCGTCAGTCCCCGTGTAAATACCTAAAAAATATACAAAAAAATAAATAATATAAGGTAAAAATAAAATATAATAAAATGTTTTATTTATCGATTTATTGTTTGTATACATGCTTTATGATATAAAACCATTGCGAGCATATTTTTTGACGTGGAAAAGAGTAAATAATATAAAATATAAAAAAAAAAAACTAAAATATTGTGGTATTATGTGATTCCCTAAATCTTACAAATATCCATAAAAATACACATAAGAACTAAATGTTAAAAAAAAACAATTCTTTAAAATATCGTCCTGAGTAAAATCGAAGAGTAAAAACTTAGCTTATCAATTTAAAAAGATTTTAAAATTATTACATTTACCATAACAATTCAATTTTTTTTTTTTAAATACTAAGTTTTTACTTTACAATATTATCATAATCAACACACATTGTAGTTTAGTTAAAAGCCCTTAATTATTCGTTCAATTATTAAAGTAACGATAACAGTAAATGTGACCTTATATTATGAAGAAGGCGAAAAACGCGTATAGTAATTTAGTTTCCAATGTAAATCAATATCCATTATTTTTTAAGCAAAGCCCATCAGCTGGAAATTAGTAAATTTCCCACTTAAAACGTACAAGAAAAAAAAATTTGTGTTTACAAAAAGGATATGTTCCTACACGAATAAAAAATACATACTGTTACGCATAAGATCCTACACGAAAAGATTCAGTTTTATTACAACTGAATAAAAAAGCCACACACTAACATATATAAAATGTTTGAGTTTTGCAATATGACATAAAATTTAATTATTGTTATGATTATTATAATTTTATTTACTGATGATATGTGAACCATACATTATTTTATATATTTACTGGATTCGATTAAAAAATAGATAATATACTAAACACATTTTTAATGAAATAGAAAAACCAGCACAGTTTAACCATACAAACTACATTTAAATTGTCAGTTTTAAGAGTAAATAAAGTAGGAAGTATTCACCATAATTTTATTTGTGTAGATTAAACAGATTAGAATAGGTCAGTAGTGCCCAATCCGCGGCTTGTGGGCCCCATGTGGCTCACGAAGATATTCTATCAGTGTTGCACAAAGGCAACTAAAAATTTATCTGGATAAAGATGACAGATTGAAATTGGATAAAATTTATCAAGATAAAGATAAAAGATAGTTCAAATCTAAATTATCTAGATAAATATAAAAGATAAAACATTAACTTTTAAATTTATACTTAAAGAATTTAATTTAATTAAAATTAAATTAAAGTTGATCTATTAGGTACCTCCAATATAATGAACAAAAAATATTTATATTATGTACATTCATATATAGGAAATAAGTAATAAATAATAAGTACTTAGTTTTAAATAAAATACATTCTTTGTAGGTATATTATAATTTTATAAAACAATTCATTACTATTTATATACTCGTAATACTTATTATGCATTTCTAGTAATATTTATGGTTAAAATATTAAAAAGTTAATTCAAGCATTTTCTATATTACTTAATTCTCATTTTTAGGAATCAAATATTGCAAGAGTCACTAGAAAATATAAATTTATTAGTCTTTATTAAGTATGTAAACAATTCTTAAAAGTAACACTTATAGGCACAATTTAAATAATATAACTAAATATGTATTGCAGTAACACAACTTATAAGATAATAGTAATTAATTATAAAGTTAATAAATTAATAATATTTTTAAAGTTTTCGTTCATTTAAAATTTTTATTAGTTTTCAACTTTCAAGTTTAATTTTTCCAAATTTTTTAAATAAAAATAATCGTATTTATTTATCTAGATGAATTACATTAGATAACTCAATAATTCATCTAAGATAATTCATCAAATAACTAATTTTGTTTATTATCTATATACCTTATTTAAGATAAAAGTTCATTCATTATTTATTTAGATAATTTACTTAGATAATTCATTTGGATAATGCTCAACATTGTATTCTATGTGTCCAGTTACAAATTTTTAAAATAAAATAAAATATTATAAAAAAAAAAAAAGTAAAATAATTACAAAAAAATTTTTTTTATTTATTTATTAATTTTATAGTCGGAGATTATCAAATAGAAGTTTTACAATTTAATATCGAAATTACTTAGAAGAACGTAATGATCAAATGAATGTGTACCTGTAGCGTGTACCTCAATCTGTAATATTTTTAATAGTCCTAATATGTGCAACAAATTATAATATTAATTAGAATAATATCGACATTATCGATACTTTTATATTTGGTGGCCTGCTCAAAGTTAATTGATTGATCTGTCGAAAAATAAAGAATGGACACCACTGGATCAGGTAGACAATAGTTACATATCATGGATATGCTTTTTATCGAGTAGTCACGTAGGAACTTACGTATATAAATACCTGCAATGGACGAATTTTACCCGCTATGTGGGAACCTGAATTCGTCCTACAGCCCAAATACACATTGATAACCTACAACAATTTGCGAAAAAATCTTTTTAATGTTCCGTGTTCAATACGTTTCCATACGAAACAAAGCAGGTAATCATTTAGGTACGTCATAACGTGTAAGTTCCGACATTAACGAAAACACATCCGTAAGTAAGTTCGTCATTGGCGATAAAATCTAATTAATTACTTTTTGTAATGTACAACAGTGCTTCTCAAAGTTTTTTGTCGTGGTGCACTCTAAATTGAATGGAAAACTGTCAAGAACCTTTGCTCAAAATCATTAATTATAATTCCCTAACAATATACTAAAATTGCATGTACTATTTTATACTGTTGAATAATGTTTAGTAAATCAATGTTTATGCTTTTGAAAAATATCTTTAATTGTATTAGACTTTAAACATGTATAAATTCAACTGAATTTAGACCCTGAGAAAATAATTTAAAGAAAACAAATATTTCATAGCCCCTCCAATAATATAAACACGGTCCACTAGATCACGGGCCACTAGTTTGAGGAAGTACAACTTTTCAAAACGTGCACTTGTACTACGTTAAATATTAGCGATTTTTTCGAATAGTCAAGTTTAGGTGTTTTGATAAAACACATTGGAATCAAGAAGTTTGAAATTATAAGTCTATGGCATTCCAATTACACCATAGGTAAGCACAAAAAAAATTAAAAATTTTTGGCGATTGAATTAGAAAGAAATTCAAATTCGTTATGATATTTGTATAGGAAAATTTACATATTATTATACAGGTGGATCCGTTTTTTTTTTACGCTAGTATTTAATTCGTATGGGTTTTATCCGTTTCATCGAAAATTGATCATTATACCCACCGGTCATTTATAACCAATGTATGTCGTCTGTGAACATTACACTCATTACACTTTTTTTTTTTTTGAATTCAATTAACAGACAGCCGATTTCGAACCCGGATTAAAAGTGTTCTGGTATTCGATCACCATCTACATAACAGTTCGATGTTTGAATTTTATTCGTAATGCAATGGACAGTTTCAAATAATATTATGTTTATATTTCCGAAATATAAGCCCTATTTTATTTTTCTGCGTTTAAAATCAAAATTCCTTCGGATGCGAATCGTCAAGATATTTAGTTAGTACAGGAAAAAGACTTTAAGCAAAAATATATTACACTAATAATTTATCAAAATTTGTATCATTTTGAAAAATGATCATTTTCGATATTATACATATAAAATTATATCATACTAGGTAGATAATAAAAGTTGCATTTGTTTTTTTCTTGTAGTTGACAGAGGCAATACGAAGAAAATATTAAAACGGTTTAGGATTATACTCTGATAATATGGGTACGAATATACACTATTAGATTAAATATAATAGTAATATGTATGCAATCTACCGGAGTACGTCTTTAAAAAATTACCGTAAACAGGAGAAAACTGAGAATCGTCCCTTTTCCCGTTAGACTTCACCGGTATGTACGATCCTTTTTGAACCCGACTGACCACTTCTGCTACACAAATATTGATCACATTATACTATATTATATAATATTGTTAAAAGTACACGTTAAACCGAGCCGAAACTCGTTCGACCGGATTCTATATTACCTTTGGAAGTATCCCTGCCCAGCATGAAATCTGCGAAAACAATAATTGTTAAATCAATAGATTCAATAAACACCGCGAACCAACAGTATCAGCGGTCATCAAAACAACACACTTACCGTTCATAACCGCACATTTTACATCGTTCAATGCCACACACATTTATTCTATCGTTAAAAAGGGAAATTTGAATGTTCGATAGTTCAAAACCACACACATTTGGTTTACAGTTCCTTTTTCCCTGCATACTTTGCATGTACGGTTCACGTTGCCGTTTCGTATGATTCCCACTCATAATCGTTTTTTTTTTCCTGTGACCTATTTGGGGTGGTGTTGCCTAGCAAATCGGACGATATTTTCGTTTTTAACTGTCCGAGCAAGCGCAGCGAGCGAGTGACCCCACTCGATAACGAGGCGCACTAATATTATTTTAGATAAATGTATATGTTATTGATATATATCAATGTGTGCGGTATTGAACGGTTTAATTTGGCGGAAATATGTGGGATTAAGACATAAAAGTGTGCGGATTTGAACGATGACCTGTTTTTGAATGTGTGTGGTTATGAACGACGCCCAACAGTATCACTTACTTTTAAATTGATTTCCTCTTTTCTCGCCGACATTAACGAACGCTCTTGATCTTCCTTTCGCCGACTGTGGCACTGCGAAACCGCACATAAAAAAATACAGAAAAATACAAAAGATAAAACTGCAGGTGTTTTTTTTCACCGATCTCTACACGTGTATGTCTACGTATAGTAACTATACAAACCAAAAATAATAACAATAAACTTATACACGTATATACGTATCGGAATGGTATAAAGGAGCTGGACGGATACATTTCCACCGAAAGTATAATAAGGTTTAAAATAAAAGTATTACCTGTATACCTTTTTATATATATAGTACATATACGGTGCAACAAGGATCTAACGATATTATTAATTTCTGAAAATAATCTTACGGTCTGCAAATTGAGGTTTGTTCTGTACAAGGACACCGCCACCGTCGGTGTAATAAGGAGCGTGACAATAAACTGTAAAAAATGCATATACCGTACTTCTAGTATTTTTTATTTTTTTTTGCGACATACTCATTTGAATACTGATATTAAAAATAGTTTATAAAACTTACGTGCTAAATTTTTCATTATCGCGTCGCTGTAGGTATGTATATTCTTTTCTTGGACGGATTCTCAAAAACAAAAAAACAAATTACATTACATTACAATATTAAGACGTGTATAGAAAACCGTATGTACGTACACGTACGAATAATAACTACGCTGTACTTACCTGTTATGATTATTATAGTCAGATAACAAGTAAACAGAAAACACACACCGAATGACTTCATTTTTGAAATGAAAGAATCCGATGGAACACAGGACGATTTATATAGGCCTATCAGCAGAGAGGACAACAATAAATGTAATATATATATGTCTATGTATATGCATATATATTCATGACGATCAAACACAGACTTAAAATCTATCATCCCCGGAAGAGTGTTACGCGATCTAAAGCTATTGTTTTTGTTTCTCTTTTCTGTTTCTCTCTCTTTCTCTCTCTCTCTCTCTCTCTTTCTCTCTCTCTCTTTCTCTCCCTCTATGTCCCTTTTTTGGTACGTTTCCTCATTATTTTCGCTTCCGTTGGATTGTCTTTTACATTCAGATTACGTAAGTATGGTCATTACATCTGCATCAATCCACCGCAATCCTAGATGTACCGTAATATTCTATTAAAATTTTAAACTTTCATGCATTAAATTAATAATTTTCTAACATTTATACATTGCGCCATGTATAATATAATAAAACAGTAAAACGTTCTCATAATAATTATGAGAACGTTATAATTATTAAATAATTCGGAAAGCATCAAATTTTCCGTTTTAGAGAAATTGAAAATAAAAAATATTTTGAACAAACTCAAATTTGACTGTACATATATATAATCTCAAAATCAAAATTATTTGTAGATACATACAATATACATATGGTAAATATTTTTCATCATAGTATATTTTGATAAAATTACTGAACTATATTTTATTACAGCGTATTAGCTATGAACTTTATGATTTAGAAAATGAATCTGTTTGATCTTTATTCGTTTTCGATAATCAAGGGCATACTCGAACTTTATACCATATTTGAAATAAACCTTAAGCAGTTTTACCAAATATAATATAGCTACTTTCAAATCTTGTATTTTTGTCTTATGTAGGGGATAATTCCATTATAAAAAGGTTTTACTGTAATAATAGTTTATTACTAGAACTATAGAATAAAATTTCAAAACTAATGTTTAAACTTTTTACAAATAATCGTGAAAATAGTTTCGTTCGTTTGAACAACCGTAAATTTCGTTATTTTAGAACAATTATGATATTGTCTGGCGGTGCGTACAAAAAAAAAAAAAAAAAAAAAGGTACAGTAGATCAATTATCACCAACAGTTAAAAAAAGAGAGAGTCGGATGTCATCATCCATACGATTGCTATATACGTTTTATTTTTCTTATCGAAGAAATGGTTTACACACCGGTGTCAGTTTATTGTTATGTACAGCAATTCAACGATAAAATCTAATATTTTCCCGAGTACACTGCGTCCATTTCTCGTAAGGTTTGTATCGAACGAATCAAAATAAACTAATAAACTCCCGTGAGATTGCCGCGCTCGTGGTGCCACAGTGTCATGATGTTCTCCCACCACAAAAACCGTGTGGCTCTCGTCGTTTGCTCTATACTGTAATTTATTAATGTACAGTGATACTATAAAAGCCTATGAATACGCATTGATCCGTTTACTGCTTTCATACCGTGATCCGTTCATCACAGTCCCATTCCGCCCGGTCAACTATAATCAATCAAGGCAACGTTGAGAGACCATTTGTTCAGTTCTTCCAGATTAGATATTTTTTTCTCGCAATTTTAGGCCTATCATTGCGTGTATTTACTAGTAGTGTGTAGTGTCCTTAAATAGTATTTCGGTTCACAGTATTTTCCCGAATGTTATTGTTTCCAAAAATCAAAAAACCCTGAAACAGTTTTTTTTTTACTGTTATTGAAAAAGAAACAAAATATTTCCTTTAGATATATTTTCTGAAACTGTCAACCTTAATAAAACCAATTAATTCTAGTTTTCAGAATAATCACAAGTTCATATATAACTACTATGAAATTATCGCTCACAAAAATTAGTGCTTTTCAAAAGATGTCCAAATCATCTACAACTAATTTATTTTCCCATTTAGTGATTTAAGTAATCTGTTTTCATCGGCAATTTATAATAATAGTATTAATGTATTTGAATAAATATTTGTTTTTTCGGAAAACATAAATATCCAGGAGTTTAGATTTAAGGGTTAAGAAAAAGGATGGCTAACCATTTTATTTTATTTATCGTATTTGAATACATTTATATTGCCTAATATCCTCAGAACCAACGACACAATTTTTACTTTGCATCCAGTTTTTTGTTTCGTTTGAAAAAGGAAAGTTAACCCACACTGTTACAAGTATAAATAGTGTCTACGAGTATATTGTTATTATTATCAAGGCAAACAAAATATTTCGGAACCCATTGTAAGTATCACAGTATCATAGTGGTACGTGCTCCGAAGCAGAAAACATTTTGAAGTAACGATATAATCAATGTAAATGCAAGTTTGTTTGCACCAGTTAACCGCAGACCATAGAAAAGTGCGTAGTATTCACGGCACGACGTTATATAATTTTTACTTATGCAAAAGCTTTTTTCGTTAAATTTTATCAGCTATTCACCGAAAATATACACAACAAATAGCCAACACTACATGAATATAATACATTCAGTACGCAAAATTAACGAAGACAAATCTTGTTAGCGATACATGAATATTTTTATTTTACTTTTGTTAATTAAAATCCCTTTATTTGTGAAACATTCCAGTTCAATATTTTATTTTAAAAATTGAATGATTAATGAGAGGTATAATTACAAATTATTTTTTATATTAGGAAACCAGAACTATGGATGAAAGAGTTGGTCAAAAATATGACAGGAAAGGATCGAGAATTGAGAAGAAGGCCAGTTAAAATAGATATTCTAGGGAGAAAATAAAGAATGATCATAAATATGACAAAGGTTGTATAGGTTTCCTGGATTTGAATAGACTTAGATGATTCAGATAGCACATATATTTATAAAATCTAATGTTATTATTATAATAATAAAGAGTTACTATTATTTTTACTCTAAAATTCATTAGATTTTTTTTTTCTATACTTATGGATATTTTTTATTACATTGTTCTTGATTGTTTTAATTGGACTATAGATTTTTCAATTTCAATTTTTCAAATTTTTAACAGTTTATGTATAGAAAAATTATTGTTATAATTATTATAAACATAAATATAATTAATTAAATATTATTATGCTATGAAATAACTCTGAAATTACGAAGTAGAATTATGATAATTGAATTGAAACATATGCAGGGGAAAATAAATAGAAAAAATTAATTTTTCTCGAAAAAAAATAAGATTGGAAACCTAAATGTACCACAGATCTAACGTACTAACATTGGACACGACGGTACGTCTATGAAATTAGTGTCATCGTCCCAAGGAGTCGAAACGTCTGGGTAAATTTACATACCCAGTGTATATCTATTATAAACATTGTGTTACGATGTTAATATTTTTGTTTTTATTTCTTAACGACTCATCAAAATTCTGCGAATTTAACTTTTGGATGTAAAACTAGCGACATTTTTAAAACTCGATTAATCGTCTACCACTCGTTGAGTAATAAAATCCGGTCCAGTTATTAGTTGCGTGTGCTTGGCATCAAAACAGCACGCCACGTTTATGCTTTTCTCATAAAAAATGTACATCGTGAGCCAAAAGGGCTTTTTAAAAGCCTACCTGCATTGCATTGTACAAATCTGCTAGTGACAGGGATGATGAAACAAAAATTTTTACATAACAAGTTACATATATATATATATGATGGCTACATTTGTACTAAACCCTTAAAATATGTTCGATTTCGATAAAAATATTGTTCCTTTGTGTATTTGGACAAGAGTATTATGCGACAAAAAATAAAACATATTCAAAAGTATATGGAGTACAAAAATGAATTTTGAAATAATTGAAATCCGTCCGCGTTTAGTCTACCAGCCAGAATAATAAATATTTCATCTCTCGCCGTTTCTCTTGGCAATAATATTTTTATCCTCATGATGCTTCTTTCAACGACCATCGTGTTTTTAAAATTATCTTCAATACCTATTGTTACCACAGTTAACCATTATCACTCTCTGTCACATTTTCCTTTTCTTCTGAAATGCTGTATGTGTTCTTTCCGTATTGTCTCCACTCGTTTACACGACATAATTTGACGTTCATCGCAATAATGTGTTTCAAAACGAATACATTGGAATAAAAAATAATATTTTAAATCGTAAAAATATCAATGTACATATTCTTTACACACGTTTAACAATTATAATCCAATAAATAGGCTAACCGTTTTACATAAAGCTTAATGAACGTGTTATTTAATTGTCATTTTAATTAATGTGTTCATTTAATTCACAAAAAAAACATTATTGTGTCATAAACACTGTATTTTAGTTTTGAACATCGTACCCATTCAATGGTAAATATTTAGTGCATAAAATGTATATTGAATTAAAACATGTATAACATATGATAAAGTGTTAAGATGATAATTTTTATTTTAAAATTAATATCACATTCAAATTATTTAATTCAAGTATTCATTTATCATTGAACACAAGGAAGTAATACAGCCGTTATAGACCGTAGGAGATTCTAAATCCATCCCGTAAGCTGTAACGATTCGAATTTTCACGTATATTTTTTTTATCCTAATCGATCTTTATTTTCAAATAAATTTTTTTTCATTCAGTTTTTTAGTTCATGTTATAAACATTAACATGTATATGTATAAACATTTGGCTAATGTCAACATCTATGCATGTTGGCAATTGTGTAATTTTATAAATATCAAAATATCAATAAAAAAAATAGTTAAATAGAGTAATTCACAAACAATAATTTACTATGGATTATTTTTAATCTATAAACATATGAAGCATAATGACGAGATTTTTACCACATTTAAATTCAATAATTATATTTAGTAAACATAAAAATAATTAAATAATTATAATAATTTATATTTAGGCTCCACGTTCTGTCGCTACTTTTCTGTTGGCGCTCCCACTTTAGCTCCTCCTTTTTATTCATAACAGCCTCCACCATTTGACAGAGACATAATTAGAGTTTTGACGAGTCGGGTAAAGTTTTATTGCCAACCCTATACACGTTTTATACGATTTTTCAAAGAAGATAATATTTATTATCTATGGATTTAATGTGG